CCCAGTGCTGACCCTCTCTTTGCCTTCTGCGGTGGCCGGTGGTCTGTCTGCAGCAGTGTGGACATGGGCAGGGCCAGAGGTCGGACTTCTCCCTCCTCCAGTTCCATGGCACTGCACCACGACAACCCGTGTGTGAGCTCTGGCTTAGCCACTTCCATAGCCGTTAGGCCATCTAACCCCCCCCCCCCCCCCCAACCCCCCCTGGAGAGGGATGGGGGGGGGGTACCTCCTTCTACAGAAAAGAAACAGGTTTCGGGAGGGCAAATGGGGCCCCTATGGGAGAGGGGGCACAAACCCAGGGCTTCAGGGCCAGCCAGTCAGAACAGGAAGCCTTTGGGTTTCCAAAGACGGGGGCTTTGATCTCTGTGTTCTCTTCATTATCAGTTGACCAACTCACCCCCCTAATCCAGGGGTCCTCAAACTTTTTAAACAGGGGGCCAGTTCACTGTCCCTCAGACCGGTGGAGGGCCGGACTATAGGTTTAAAAAAAACTATGAACAAATTCCTATGCACACTGCACATATCTTATTTTGAAGTAAAAAAAACAAAACGGGAACAAATACAATATTTGTATTGCATGTGGCCCGCGGGCCGTAGTTTGAGGACCCCTGCCCTAATCTCTCCCATCACTCAAGTCCCCCTCACCCCCAGGAAACGGAAGCTTTTTTTCAATGTGTATGTGTTGGTGTGTTGGAGGGTCAGGGAGCAGCTCTTACTTACACAACAGAGGGTGGCAGGTCCTGGGAGAGAGGTCTGGGTGCCTCTGTCCCATCCTCGGAGGCGGCCACTGCAGCTGCTACCTCTGGGCCCAGCCATAGGAAGGCGCTCACCTCACTTGGGTTTGGTTGGATCCGGGCCTGGGGCCAGACACGTTGATCCCTTTATCATGGCCTCTGGCAGGAGGCCTATTCTGATCACAACCACCCCTGGTGGATGGAGAGGAACTTGGAGCCGGGAGGATGGCTTCTCCTGACACCCCCTGAACCCCCAACCTTAGTCACAGTGAGACCAGCCTGCTTGGGCCTCCCCAGTCTAGTACCCTTTCCTCCCGCCAGCCCTACCTGCAGCTGCTGCTGCGACTCCTGGGAGACCACCAGCAGGTAGAGAACGATATGATGGTATTTGGGGGGACCCCAGCTCAGCCTAGGAGGGTAGGCGGACTAAGAGAAAATGGCAAAAATGAGAACTTCCTGTCTCTTTCTTGAGATGAAAATATAGCTGAGGAAGTGGAGGGTAGAGATGGCCGCA